ACCTCCTCCTCCTCCTTCTTCGTCATCATCATCGTCTTCATCTTCCTCCGACTCACCCTCCAACGCATCCGGCACATCCTCATCCCTCTGTAGAAAAAGAACATGTCTGATTGCACGTAGCACGAGGGGGGCATTTGAGGAATCAGTGTCTCCGACGACACTCCAGTCGGCGGAGAGCAACAAACCACAACCACGCACGTGTCCCAGCGAAATTGGACGGGATGGGCCGGAGTGGTAGGATGCCAGATGTTCCACGGGCGGCCCTGGCGCGCCTCCTGCGCCCACTCTTGCCTCTCGCCCACCTTCTCGAGCCTCTCGTCCTTCACCCCTGCCCCTCCCCCCTCGTTCACCGCGTGGGGCAAGGCGGGGCGACGGACGCTGCTGGCGACAGGGGTGGTGAGACAGGCGCGCGGCGCGACCCCCGCGATCCCGCGCGGCTCATCGGACGCGTCTCTCAATGTCATCTCCGTTCCTCGCGCGGCACGCGGAAAACTGCGCACGCGGCTAGGGCTCGACAGCAGCAGCCTGGTATAGCTCGCGCGCCGAGTCTACAACGCGGTGAACGGTTGAGGCGGTTCTCGGATCAGGTGCGCTCACAGGCTCCCGCATCTCTTCGCTGCGCAAGCTGGTGCGTGAGCGCGAATCCAGCCGAGATTGTTGCGCGGAGCTCCTTTGAGCTCGCACCAAAACTCATCCTGGCGAAAGTCAACTCTTGCGTATAATCAACTTCCACTCTGCAATGCAGACAGGGTGATCGACTTCCCGGAGCTGATTCAGTCGTCGACAGGGCGATCAGCCATCCAAAATTTTCACCTAGTCCAATGCAAAATTGATTCAGGTAGGCACGAACCCAGCTTTGAATTGGGGCCCGAGGCGCTCAGCAAACAATACAAACAAACGTCCCGCTGCTGTCGCCGTCGCCGTCGTCGTCGTCGTCGTCGTCGCCGTCCGCGTCGTCGGTGTTGCCGCCGTCGCCGTTAACGGTGACGATGACAATGACGGCGCCAGAGACGGCGGCGACAACGACGGCATCACCGGTGACGACGGCGGCTGCTGGCGACGACGGCGGCGATGGCGACGACGACGACGGTGGTCACGGGGGTGGCGATGCCGACAAAGGCGACGCTGGTGGCGACGGCGACGGCGACCGCGGCGATAAGGAGGTTGTATGCGGAGGCGCAGTGCGCAACTCCACTGAAGGAAATCACACTCCTGAAGACAAGGGGGACACCGACAACGGCCTCAATAACGACGGCGGCGAATCAAAAGCGCTGTCGTGCTCTCTGGTGTCCTGCATGCAGTCAGCCTTTGCATTTGTGTGCAGCCCCGAGGGGAAATTTTGAAACTATTTTGGGGCCACCTTCGGATATGGGGGTTATCAAACGCTCTTTCGGCCTCCATGTGTACTCCAGGGACCGTATCGGAGCTTCGCTTTCGCCTCAGGAGGCGCTCTGGGTCGCCTGATATGGGTCCTCCGATCGTCTTCGGCCGAGCTCTGCGGGAGAAGAAGCGCGGGTTCTGCCGTCTGCGGGCGGGCGCGCCCGCACTTGAGGGTGGACTCCCTATGGAGATACAGCCGTCGTGGTACTAGGAGGAACGACGGATGAAACATGGAGATAGTAGAAGGAACCAAGGAGCTGCCTGGCAACGGCGAGCCTCGGCCACGAATGGGTTCCCCGACCCAACCCACAGGAACGGCCTGAAAAGCAGCCCCCCCCGAACCCAAGGTGACCCTGTTTCAGCGTCTTGGCCATACACCAAGGAACCCCCTTCGCAAGGCGAGGGGGGATATGTAAAAGGGAAGGAGGCAAGGCGGGGAGAAAGACGACAGGCGGGCCTAGGAGCCTCTCCCTGTCCGTGAAGCCGACCAGCGTGGGGGTCTTGCGCTGGGAAACCTCGTTCTGGCAGATGTCCACGGCCCCCTTGCCTGTCGCCGCTTCGCATCGCCCCTCATTCCACAACTCCTTCCTCTCCCTACTGCCCCTCCTCCTCCTTCTCCAACCCTCCTCCCCCTGCCCCTCCTCCTTTCCTTGTTCCTCCTCTGGATCCTCCTACGGGTCCTATTCCGCGTCATGCCTGTCCCCCTTTTTCATGTCCTTCCCTCCCCATCCGTTATTGGTGAGCAACTCGAAGTCGCACCACGAGATGTGTCGGTACGGCGGGTCGGACATTTCGCCTGAGAGTTCCTCGCAATGCATGGACATGAAGCTTAAAACCTCCGACAAGTAGACAACTTCGAGACTGAGTCCATTTCACAATGGGCACTGGGCACATTTGCCCTAAATGATTACAGCAGTTACCAGGACGAACGACAGGTGCTTTTGAACATGTGGATGTGTCACGAGGCTTCCGAGCATTCTGCGGCACAACTAATGAGACACAGCTGTGAAGCCCCTCAGTTCGAATGGCCAGAGATGCAAGCCTTTTCAACAGTTCTACGGATGGGGGCGGCTCCTTGTCAAAACGGAGCGATCGCTGGACAGTCCTGCGGGGCGGGTACGAGATAGTGTGGCCCGAGGGCCCCGGGGGCCCCGAGCCTGTCCATGTCCGCCCCCTGCCGAAGTCCTCGAAGATCGCTGCTCCAGGCAGTAGTTGTGGGTAAATCCCCGGCGCGGTCTGGCAACTGTACATTCGATTCGCAACTTCCCCCGTGGATTATAAAGTTCGGTCTCCGCGCCCTGCTCCACAATTAAACCATGTTGAACGGGGATAAAAAAATAGAAGGCCTTAATGGGGGGGGGCACATTATTATCACCCGCGCTCGTTTATGATCATGACGTGCAGAAGTGCTTGCGAACCGCTCGAAGGATGCAAGCCGGCTCCGCTTCCAGACGGAGCCCTCGCCTGGACGGCAGGGTGGCGCTTCTTGTGATGGGAAGGGCGGAGAAGTCTTGGGACGCAAGGGGTACCACAGCATCGTTGGCGCATGCTGGATTTACTCTGGTCCATCCTCCTCCTCCTCCTCCTCCTCCTCCTCCTCCTCCTCCTCCTCCCCCTCCCCCTCCTCCTCTTATGAATTACCTGCTCCTCCTCACCCCGCCATCATTCTCCCTCAGCCTTCCTCTCCCTCAACCCTCCTCCTCAAATTCATCCCTCGTTCGCCAGGTCGCCGCGCACCGTCCTCCTTCCCCGCCATCCCCCGATCGTGCAGGACCGCCTGGGCACCTCCCCGAAGACCGACACCCTGCCGACGAGCTAGTCAATGTGCCCGGTAAGCCACCGGGTCGGTCTCGTGGCGTGTCAGCATGGTCTGTGCTAGCGCTCGCCGATACTAGCACGAGGGGGAGAGAGGTGAGGATACGGATGTGGATGGAAGGTTGGGAGGGAGGGGATCTCGGAGGAGGAGAAGGAGGAGGAAGGAGGGATGAGGAGGCAGGAGGGAGGTGGGCGGGAGGGGAAGGTAAAGGAGGGGGCCGAGGAAGCAGCGAGGCAACTGCCGCAATGCCAACAAGCGCCGTCGCGAGAGGCTGCTCGTGCCTCCTGCTCGCCTGTCCTTCTGCCGGTCCCCAGCAAACCCCCAAGCACCTGTCCCCGTGCTCTCGTGCCGCCTCTTCTGGGCCAGCTCCGTACACGTCATTCATTTCTGATCGTGCTCATTTCTAAAATTGTGCTCGTTTCTAATTGTTCCTTGCCCCCTAAGTGGCCAGGAAGGTGACCAGGATAGAACCAGTAGAAATGAAAGGATGTTGGCCCCACAAAAAGTCAAAGAACTGTCGAAAAAATAGAAATGAACAATGTGTACGTTTTCTACGTTTTCACTTGGGACGGCGGACGGATCCCAACGGACGGGCAAAACCGAACACGCGGTCTGGTCGGGACGGGTTTCGGTAAGTTGGGAGGCACCAGAAGCCCCCCAGGGATCCCCCGGGGGGTGCATGCGCCCATGCGCACTGGCGCAGGACTCCCCCCCACCCTCCAGATGTTCCAACATATCCGCCAACGCGCATCCTGGCACGTTGAGGCGCATCCGCCAACGCACATCCGCCAACGCGCAGTGGTAGTGCGTATTTTCACATGGCTTCGTTTCCTCCGCGTCCTCCTCCTCCTCCTCCCTCTCCCAACGCCGTGGTGCATGCAATCCCCCCCGCGCTTGGGCGGCCCGACGTACACGGAACGATCTTAAAGGCTTTCTGAGGTTTTTCCAGCACGTCCCTAAGGAGACCGCCAAGGCCGCCAGGACGATCCAGCATGGCCTCAATAGGCAACCAGCAGCTCCTGAGAAGTGCCAGAAGCATCCAAACATCAGAGGAGGAAAGGTACTCATACCTCCACCCTTCACCCGTTTTCCCCTGTTTGGGCCTTCTGAAAGGCCCTCGTCGCCATCGCTGGATTCGCTTCGAAATTCTGGTCTGAACGCACCGCTGTAGAGGTCTGGGGGGTAGCGGTATCGGTACCCCTTGGTTACCCCAAGAGAGGCATCCGACATGCCTCAAAACATCCCTACAAAAGCTAACCGGGAGGCCCTCTACATTCCGGACACGGTAATGATGTTGTCTCCCATCGTCAAGCTATCCGCAAGGCGTCCTCTGGATCCGCATGGCTTCCTTAGCTATCCGCACGGTTTCCTCCGTATCCGCATGCCCCTCCTCTGCTATTGCACTGGCTGCCTGTGGTAATTCCAAGGACGCCCCGAGAATCGCCAAAACGATCCGCATGTCGTCGTCAGTGTCCGCATGGTTTCCTCTGCTATCCGCATGGCGTCATCTGTATCCACATGCCCCTCCTCTGCAGTTGCATGGGCTTCCTGTGGCTATCCCAACAGGGCCCCAACAATCGTCAAACCGATCCGCTTGGCTGCCTCTGTGTCCGCGCATGGCCCCCTCTGCTATCCGCATGGCGCCCTTGGTATCCACGTCTCTGATCCCTATGCCTTCCTGCGACGATCCCAATGGCGCCCCAACAGTCGTGAACTGCAGAAGTAAGAGTAGAGTGGAGTAGAAGAATGAGCGGGGCAGAAGTGGCGGAGACCAGAGTAGAGCAGAGTGGAGCATGATTAGAGTTGAGGAGAATAGCACTCGAGTAGGGTCGAGCACCCACGGGTTGACAGCAGCCCCCCCCCGACGGGGGGCGCCCCATGCCTGTGGCCAAGTCGCCGACAGGCCTTCCACTCTCAGGCCCGCACGCCGGGTGCCGAGGGCAGGGTGGGCTCACGAATGGCCCACACTCGCTGAGGCAACGGCGGCAAGAGTGCGCTGCACGAAGCCACTTGCAGCCGATGCCTGCCCGGGCACACTGAACTGCATCAATGGCCGCGTCGGCATACACCACAAATATCTCGTTATGGAGCCCCTTCTCCGCTCGCGGGGCTCGTGCCGCGAACGGTGCAAGCCCGAACGCTGCGGCCGCGCCGAGCTGGAAGCGGGCGCGGAGCACCGCGAGACGCCGCCGCGAAGCTCCAGCTCGAAGAGCACCACCAGCAAGAAGTCACCACCAAAGAGGTCACCCGCATGAGCCTCCTGACTCCCGGGTGCTCCAGGAGCACGCTCAGCATGCACATCAGGAACACCACCCACGCGTGCCTGACCTCCAGGGGCGCCATGAAGTCCAAGCACGCCGGGACGAGGCACACCATGTGCATCGCGATCGCCTGGGGCCTCACCGACGTCGCGACCGCCTCCTGCCACGCAGCCGAGGGCGACTCACACGAGCTTGACGTCGGGCTTGGCCGTGTCGTCGACATCCTCCTCGGCTTCCTCGGGCAAGGCGTCTGCGGGAACGACGGCAAGTGGGATAGGGCGGCGGAGCGGCCAGCCTCTTCGCCTGCAACAGTCCACCACCACGCGCACCCTCCAGGCGGCCTCACCTCGGGGGACTCGGCGAGCCGCGCCCGCTGGGCAAGGTCGAAGCGGCACACCTCGGGCACGGAGCGCCCGCGCCGAGTGGCCACCATCCAGTCCGCAGGGGCGGCGTCGGCAACCGAGCGCTCCGCTGGCTGCCTCGAGCGCCAAAGCCCTCCCGCAACCGAGCCGCCGCGTGCGACCAGCGACGGTCCTCGCCCGCGCCACGCATTACGGGCGGTTGAGCTGCGCCCCCCCGGCCTTCGCGATCACGGCGACGGGCACGCCGAAGTCGTAGGCCGCCATGTTGCGCCGCTTCAACTGCAGCGTGCCAGCCACGGGGAGCGAACGCTCTCCTGCGCCTCCCAGCCCAGCCGCGGGCACAGGGCCCCAAGGACCAGCCACCCCGAGAGCTCGTTGAGAAGCGCCGCGTCGGCGCCGCCATCCGAGCACACGGACGCCAACTATACCAACGGGTGCTGCTCCGCCAGAGCTACGGCCTGCGCAGCGGCCGCAGCGTTCACCTCCTGGATCGCCTCGAGCCTCGCTTTCAAGCTCGCGACGTGCCCTTCGAGGCACAGCGCACGCTGCAGAGCGGCCTGCAGGCGCGCAGCGGAGGCCACCCGAGCCGCATCGCGTCGAGCGCGCCGCGCTGGCGTGGGGCTGCTCCGCTGCAGCATGGGCGACCCTTCAGCCAGCCACAGCCATATCCCCAAGCCACCATGTCCATCGCCGATGCAAGGGAAGAGGCGCTGCCCCCAGAAGAGAGAGAGCCACGGGCCAACGATTGCCCGCCTGGCGCCCAAGGCAGGCCTGAGCCACAATGGCTACAGAAGTAGGGTCGAGTAGGTTGGGTTAGAGTAGGGTAGGGTCGGGTAGGGCAGTGTAGGGTAGAGCGACACAGGATAGATGGGAGAGTAGAGTCGGGCGTCAGATAGTCGAGTTGCACAGCGTACATTAAGAGTAGGGCAAAAATAGAGTAGAGTCAACAGAGCTGAGTGTACCCGAGTATAGTAGGAGTAGGGCGCAATACAATATATTAAAGTATGTTATGTTCGATTAGGGTCGGGTGATGCAGGGTAGAGCAGACTTGGGTAGAGAGGGTAAACCAGAGTACAGGTATAATATGGTGGATGGTTGAGTAGAGCCTAGTACTGTAGATTAGAATGGAGTAGAGTCCAGTCCTGTCTACTGCAGTCCAGTCCATCCCAATCCATTCCAGCCCGCTTCATTAAATACTTACATTCTGGCTTCCGATCTATTTGGAGTCTGCGCTGGCTGATGTTTTCGATGTGTCGCTCCACACCCTCTCCGGTGGAAGATCGGTACACTTGCGGTCTTCGAGGGCCGAAGCGGGCCTACCGAGAGCCACCAGAGGGCGCCTATCACAGCAGGACCGCCCCGAGAGAGCCCCGAGAGGCTGGAGGGACCCAAGGCGGCCCAAGAGGGGCACTAGACGGCCCCAGGAGGCCCCAATACGGCCCCACGACAGCCTCAAGAGACCCCCCCGACCACCAGGAGAAGCCCCAAACAGCTCAATATGCCCCTGAGCCCGCCCGAAGACAACCTAAGATGGCCCCAAGGCAGCCGGAGAGGGCCCAACAGGACCCCCAAGACTGCCCCGCCAGAGCCCAAGACAGCCCCAAGACGGCAGATTAGTCCCCCACGGCAGCTCCTCAAGACGTGGGGCCGAGAGATGTCAGATCTGGGCGGTGCTCGAAGGGTCGCCACACAGACTGCATCGCGAATCAAATGGGGATCCCAGACACCACAAAGGGGGCACCATGAGAAGTAGGAGCGCATGCTTTTGCATGAGGTACTTGAGAAGCACACGTGAACCCTCAGCGAGCATTATCTGTACATATATATATATATATAAGCAGCATCGGGCATGTTCTGCCTCCAACGCTTCCAGGTCACGGCAGCCGACTGCGATTTCAAGTAATGCATGGACTTCGAGACTGCTCGAGCAGACAGCTGCTGCGGATGCATCGATGTCGGAAGTCATTGCGGCTGTGCCTGTTGTTGTCGGGCCACCCGGCGATGTAACTGATGTGCACACTATGCCGTATTGACGGTGCGCGCTAATCCCACCAGCCCTTTGGGCGTGAGTGGTTTAGGGAGCTCTCTCTGTCCTCAACCCCCCTTCTTCCCCTTCGGGGAGGGGTTTACCCCTCCCCCTACCCCCTCCCCCTGGGCCTGGAGAGGGCGGGCCGCGGGTCGTCAGGGGAGTCTTTTTTCGACTCCTAGGAGGGCCAAAAACGACGACCCTCACGAGGATTCTGGCCCCGAGGGGGGGGAGGGAGTTTGGCGCCTGAACTCGTCGTTGAAGTAAAAAACATTGATTTTACTACGGTTTGGGCCCCATTTTGGCCTTCTGAGGGGGCCGCGCTCCTCTTCCTTCATAGCAAAATCATTGATTTTACTAAGGTTTTGGCCTCATGCTGTCCTTCTCAGGGGGCACCTCTACTTCGCGCTTCTGAGGAGGTCGCAAAAGGCCCCAAGATAGCCCCAAGAGGCCCCCAGGAGGCTCCCAAGAGGCCTCCAGGAGGCCCCCAAGAGGCCCCCAAGGGGCCCCAAGAGGTCGAGGCTCCCAAGAGGCCCCCAAGAGGCCCCAAGAGGCTCCAAGAGGCCCCCAAGACGCCCCCAAGAGGCCCCCAAGAGGCCCCCAAGACGCCCCAAGAGTTCCAAGAGGCCCCCAACAGGCCCAACGAGGAGCCCGAACGACTCACACCAGGACGAGAGACCCCAACGACTCACACCACGAGGAGCCCGAACGCGTCACACCACGACGCGGGCCCCGAACGACTCACACCACGAGGCGCCCGAACGACTCACACCACGAGGAGCCCGAACGACTCACACCACAAGGAGGGGCCCGAACGACTCACACCAGGACGAGGCGCCCGAACGACTCACGCCACGAGGAGCCCGAACGACTCACACCACGACGCGGGCCCCGAACGACTCACACCACGAGGAGCCCGAACGAGTAACACCAGGAGGAGGGGCCCGAACGACTCACACCAGGATGAGGGGCCCGAACAACTCACACCACGAGAAGCCCGAACGACTCACACCAGGACGAAGAGCCCGAACGACTCACACCACGAAGAGCCCGAACGACTCACACCAGGAAGAAGGGCCCGAACGACTCACACCAGGACGAGAAACCCCAAACGACTCAAATCACGAGGAGCGCTTTCTCTCCCTCCTCCTCCGCCTCGTCCTTCTCCCGCTCCCCCCACAAGGAGGATGTACAAGGAGGCGGGAGGAAGGAGGCACAGGGGAGATATGCGAGGCCACGCCTGAAAAACACGACTGTCGGCATGCTTCGCAAGAGTTGCTGCTGTGAGATGGGCTGGTGGGGATACGCGAAGCGTAAAGAATTCTACTGAGAGCTTGAGGAGGCGTTGCAGGGCAGGGCCGCCCGCCAGTGGAACGCGGCAATCATCGCCGCCGCAAGCGCGATCCCTGTAGCAAGACTCTTTCTCGGTGTTCTGCCAATTCTTGCTTGATGGATGCGGGTGCTTGCAACGGTAGTCATACTGTCGTCTCTCCAAACAGAGACTTGAAAATCCAAACTGTGTGCTTGCGCTTCTGCCGGCAGCAGTCATTCATCTGCGCGACGGGCGCGAGCAAGGTCCGCAGCCGAGCCAGCGCACTGCTACCAGCCACTGCTGCGCCACTCACGCGGACATCAGCTTCGAGAACCATGGCAAAGAAGCAACGCAGGAAGGCAGCATCACTGGCACGAACCAAATCGAGATTGTGAGAAAGATTTCGCCGAAACAAGGTGATCGTCTGCTCTTGCTCTTGTACGGGTTTGCTCGCGAACCCAAATGCCTTGGAGCCCATTGTCTGTCGCCTTCAAGGAGGCACGCGCGGCTGCCAATATGTGAAATGACTGCTCCGATAGGGGGTCCTCGCAGACAGAGGCCTCCTGCGGGGGGTCGACCCCAAGGATAGATGTATCGACCAGGTCAACATTTGCTGTAGCTGCCAAGTCTGTCGACCCCTTGTATAGAGTGGAAAGCTTCATGGCGATGTCACATGAAGCGTAAAGAAGTTCGCCTCCAACATGCTTGAAGGACTCCTCAACAATCGTCTCGAGGGACACTTCCAGAGCCGTCCGCGTCAATTCAACTGCGACGTCCACTGAAGTCAATGGCTCGCAGAAATCCATGGCTCGCGGATTGACGTGTTGAATGATACTTCGTAGGATACATCTGGTGATGCCCGATGGCGTGGGGCATACGCTCCTGAAAACAATACAACCAGCAGAAGCAATGAACACGTAGACGGCAAACGTCTTGGGCAGACAACCTGAAAGATTACTGGACCTTGCGGAGTGCAACAGGTGCCCGCACCAGAAGGCTACGAATGTCTGTGGTGGTGGTATTCCCACGGGAGACTGGACGTGGGGAAGGGACTACTGGTCGTTGGGCGCTGTGACCCGTACTTGTTGGCGAATGTTTCCCAACTGCCCAGACAGTGCTCGCAATTAGAGGTCCTCCCTTCGATTACCCCAGGAAAGCGGCTGGTCATGGCGCGCCTTGCGGGCGCCCCGTGCGCCCGGTGCGTCCGCCAGTGTCTCGCCCAGGCCCCGCCCGAGGCTACCTGGCGCCTCGTGGTGGTCCCGTGTGCTGGGTGGGTGGGTGTGCGACCAAGGCGCATGTGGGTGCCTCGCGGGCGCCTCGTGGTCGGCCGCACAGCTGGCACCACATTTGATTCTGCCACATCGCTCCAACGACATAGGTTACTCCGCAATGCTTATCTCACATAGCTGCCACCACATAGCTTTCACCACGCAAGTTTGATCACATATGCTACACCGCGTGATATACACCAGCAAATTTACACCACACTAATTGCACGGCGGAAGGTACAATAAACATCGTATCTGACATCACGCAATTCACACCGCACAGATTGCACCACAGACCTTGCAGACAACAGCTTGCACTACACATCTCGCACCACACGCTTTCCACCACACACACGCATTGCACCACATAGCTCACACTACCAATATTGTATCACATTCCCTGCACATCCGTTGCACTAACTCAATGTTCAAGGTCCACGCTGGCGAACAACTTTGCAAACAAGAGACTTGCCCTAGCTTCATGTGTAGAGAACTGATGGTACTGGCTCCAGCTCATGCTTTGCCCCAGCTTATAGCAATGGCTCCCTCTGCTATTGCAATGGCCTGCTCTGCTGTTGCTATGGCTTCCTGTGCTGCAGCAGCGGCTTCCACTGCTATTGTGATGGCTTCCTGAGGCTAATTCAATTGCGCCCCAACAGTGCCCAACAATCGACAAACTCGTCTAACTCAGAAGTAGAGAATAGCAAACCATAGTACAGGAAAGTGGCCATATTCAAGAAGAGTATGTGAGTGTGATGAGAGCAGAAAAAGAGTAGAGTGGAGTAGAGCGACGCAACGGAGAATCAAGTATCAGAGTTGAGAAGAGTAGAGTCGGACAGAGCAATCTTAGAAAAACAAGTAGCAGTAGAGAAGACTACAACACGTAGAGTAGAGTTGGTTAGGAGTAGGGTAGGGTTCAAGACACCTTTCCCAGACGTCGTGAACAGTTTGGCTCACTCCGACCCGCCCCGCCACCACAGTGGTGCCCGAGACCGTTCACATTCAGCGGTCTTCTGTGGAAGGGCAGCCACGTACTGGGAACAAGTACAGACCCCAGGTGCGCGACGCTGGGGCGAGGTGCGCCACGCTGGCCCTGACCATTCTCGTCGAAAACCAATGCCAGGGCCCAATCGCGGCGGAGTGGCGATCATGATGCCCAATGTGCATGCACGCCGCAGGCTGCATGCCAGCACCCCCGCCGTCCCTCTCGAAAACCGATGCAAAGTGATCGCGGGGTGCCCTCGCATGACATTTTTGTTGACAGGGGTGGTGACCCTGCGCGCAGCAGGCCATGTGATGGCACCCCCGCGGCCCCCGTCGAAACTTACCCTGGCGAAGAACTCATCCAAGTCTAAACGCGTGGCGGGTATTAGCAAGATCGCCCCATGCACATGAACATACTGAAGAATGTGCAGAACCCTTGGACGCTTCGCCAAGAAACAGAACATGTCATCCAACACCGTTCCATTCACGCATGCACTCTGACCCGGGCCTTCGGTGGAGCTCCCTAGGGGCCATGGAACAGGACGCGAAACCCTTGAGGCTTGTACCGAAATGAACCCGAGTACACATGGGAGCCCTGCAATTGGAGCCTTCTGGCGAGCTCACTGTGGGGCCACGAAACATGTGAAGGGTGCGCCGGCAGGGACCCGAGCACGTACGCATGCGAACCCCATCACTGGGGCCTTCGGCGGAGCTCCCTATGAGGCTACGCAACGTTAGACGGGTGTGCCGAGATTAACCCTAACAGACACGAGAACCCTACCTCTAAGGCCTTCAATGGAGCTTCCCATGAGGCCACGAAACGTTTGAGAGGTGTGCCGAAATAGACCCGAACAGACAAGCGAACCCTGCTACTGGGGCCTTCGGCGGAGCTCCCTGTGGCGCCACGAAGCGTGTGCGAGGTGTGCCAGATTGGACCCGAGTGCGCACGCGAACCCTGCCAAGCTCTCTATTTGACCACGCCGACATGGACCCGAGTACACATGTGAACCCAGCCACTGGGGCCTTCGGTTGAGCTTCCCATGGGGCCACGAAGCGTTTGAGAGGTGCGCCGATATGGAGCGAAACGGTGATGAGAAAGATAATGGTGGTGACGAGCATAAAAATCGCGATTGCTAACGGCGGCGATGACGAGGGTGATGCTGATGACACGGATGAGGAGGAAGGGGAGGTGAGAAAGAGGAGGAAGGAGAACGAGGTGGGGCGCGGCGCTGCGAGTTCAAGACTCGGACCCAATAAACACGAGGGTGGGGAAAGCATGCGAAGTACTCTCGAGATCCCCCGCTCCTCCCTCCTTGCTTTGCGGCGCCCGCCTATGCACCCCACGAAGGAGTCCGCAGATCCGAAGTCGATGCCCACCACGAGACGCCTCGGGCGGGTGGCGCGGGCCCTGCCAGGGGACGTTTTGGGGTGGGTGTGGGGGGGGGGGAAGGGGGGAGAGATGCGGGGAGCAAGATCTCCCCGTAGGCATCCAAGCGGAGAAAGAGGAGGAGGAGGAGGAGGGCGAGGAGGAGGAGGGCGGAGGAGGAGTAGGCTGGCAGAGGGAAACAAGGAATAGCGGAGCGAGGAGGGGTGTACATGTGCATCTAGTAGGTGTCTGTTCATTAGCGACATGCTTATTGCTTAATGCTACTTTGCTATTCCTGTCCTACTCCTGCCAATGCTCACACTGAGGCAGGGCTGACAACAACCTCGCGGCAATCCGCCACCGTGCTCCCTGGCGCGCTGAAGCGTGGCAGACTTCCAAATGCTGCCGAGCGGAGTTTCTGTAGTTCGTCTACGCCGCCCCCCCCCCCTCCCGGTCCCACCCAGGCGTGTGCACTCGTCCCCTGTTCCGAGGCTTTCTGGGCGCCCCGAGGTCTCCAAGGCGTCCACTATGACCGAGATGGCTTCCAATGCGGCCCAGACAAGCCACCATGGCCGCCAATACGACCGAAGATTACCCCAAAAAGACACCGAGAGGCACCGTTCAACTCAGGGAGCCTCCAAAACATCGAGGCGGAAACCTGGAGGAAATCCAGGAAAGCCAAAATCGCAACAACAATACTATGAGAAACTCATAGATCCTCTACTTTGCATCTCCTGGATCTCGGCTCAAGATGTTCTAGGAAGGCCTCGCGAGAGCCAAGGAGAGGCCAAACGAGCCCAATCCGAGCCAAAAGAAAGCTTCGCAGGAGCCCGAAGGCTGGGGACAGCCCCAAGAGGGCCCCTAAACGGCCCAAGAGGGGCCCAGGTCGGACCAATAGAGAGACTCGAGCAATGACTCCCATGACACCGCCCAAGGACATTTTGAAAGGCTGAGAGGGCCCATGACGGCCCAGGAGGGCCAGGACAGCACCAAGCTGACCCAGGAGGGCCGCGAAGGAGCACCACAGGGGCCCCAGAAACCCAAAGCAGCCCAATAAGTGCCACACGCTACAGCCTCAGGTGCGCGAGGCGTGGCCACACGGGGTGCTGCGCTGGCAAGGCGGCGGGAGCTGCCGCAGAGCATCGGCGCGCGAAGGCAGTACACCGGAGCACGAACCAGCGTCAAAAGCAAGTGCGGGGAGCCAAACGTGAATATACATCACACGAAACTGGCAATCACACAAAAAAATCAGACGACAGTACACCATAACAGCAAGCGCAACCAGAAAACCATCCAGAGGACAAAATCAATCAGTGCACCAACGCCCACTCTACAGTCGAAGGAGCATGCGATGAACGTGTACTGGTTTCGAGTGGAACAACAAACATGACAGCGAACTGAGATAATGGTTACGTTTTGAAGCGAGCATATCGGGCACCCCAGAGACAACAGCCTCCGCAAGCGAGCGCATCAGCAGTAGTGCGAAACAGACGACCTAACAAATTGAGCGTATTCATGGAAACGCCCCGGCAAATCGTTGTCGGCCAAGCCGACGTTCCCGGGATGTTGAATAACCGGTCGATGGCGAAAAAGGCTGCCTCTGCGCGACACCCCTTCCACTTCGGAGGAATGCAAAAAGGATGGGGAGATCCAACAAAAGCTCTGAGGAACCACGCAAGCCAGCCCAGCATCCCGAAGAAAGCCATGCAGAACCTCGGCCCCGCTCGCGGGAACGCGGCCGCCAGGTCAAAGGAGAAGGCCAATCCCGTGTCTCCGCTCATGGCCGCTAGCTCCACCGCCTGGTTGAGGTGCGCAACGTTGGCCAGAATGGCGCGTCCCCGCGTCCCCGCAGGACCCCGC